ATTTATTTAGTTTAGTTTAGTTTAGTTTAGTTTAGTTTATATTTATATTATGTTTAAGGTATTGCAAATAGTAGTACATATGTCTCTCTTTTTTTCCCATTGACCTATCCCGGGCTCCTTTACCCCCTGGCACTTGCCCTACCCACCCTACCCCCCACCATGTCTTGTGTCTGTTGTTTGTGCTTATATAGATGCATCCAAGTCCCTCGGTTGATCTCTTACACCCTCAACCCTCCCCTACCTTCCCGCTGTAGTTTGACAGTCTGTTCCATGCTTCTTTGCCTCTATTTTTGTTCAACAGTTTATAATGTTCTTTATATTCCAAAAATGAGTGAGACAATGTGGTAGTTATCTTTCACTGACTGGCTTATTTCATTTAGCATAATGCTTTCCAGTTCCATCCCTGCTGTTGCATATGGTAAGAATTCCTTTTTTTTTTTTTTTTTTTTTTTTTTTTTTTTTACAGCAGCATTGTATTCCTTTGTGTAGATGTACCAGAGTTTTCTAATCCATTCAACTGCTGATGGGCATTTAGGCTGTTTCCAAATTTTTCTATTGTAAATTGTGCTGCTATAAACATATATCCTTTCTGATTGGTGTTTCTGTTTTCTTGGGAATATATTCCTAGAAGAGGTATTCCCGGGTCAAATGGCAGTTCCATTTGTAATTTTTTGAGGAAACGCCATACTGTTTTCCACAGTGGCTGCACCAGTCTGCATTCCCACCAGTAGTGAAGGAGTGTTCCTTTTTCTCCACATCCTCTCCAGCACTTGTCTTTTATTGATTTGTTGATGAAAGCCATTCTGACAGGTGTGAGATGGTACCTCATTGTTGCTTTGATTTGCATCTCTCCGATGATTAGTGACTTGGAGCATGTTTTCACATGTCTCTTGGCTTTCTGAATGTCCTCTTTTGAAAAGTGTCTATTTAGGTCCTTTGCTGTACATAGAGCTCGGGAAGTATGTCTCAGCGCTGCGGCTGATGCAATGGTGTGAGCACACTCCACCATGACATGCTTCCTCGGCACACCAGGAAGTAGCAACGCCGGACTGAACGAACTCCGGGAGCCACGTGCACAGTACCCCAGCCTATCAGCATTGGTCGCCTATAGCAACGTGTCTCCCTCTGATTGGTCCCCTCATGCTATATATACCCCTGTAGTTCCATAATAAAATGGATCTGCGTCACTGTACCTGGTCTCCGGAGTCGTGCATGCAGATGCCCTAGCGGTTGGGGCTCTGTCATCCTCACACCCGAGGGACCCCCTGCTTCACTTTGCCAATTTTTTGATTGGATTGTTTATCTTTCTTTTGTTAAGTAGTATAAGTTCCCTGTAAATGTTGGAGATTAAAACCTTATTGGAGATAACCTTGGCAAATATGTTCTCCCATGCAGTGGGCTTTTTTGTTGCTTTGCTGATAGTTTCTTTTGCTGTTCAGAAGCTTTTTATTTTGATGTAGTCCCATTTGTTTCTTTTGTCTTTAGTTTATATTGCCCTAAGAGCTGTATTGCTAAAGATATTGCTACAAGAAATGTCTGACATTTTGCTGCCTATGGCTTCTTCTAAGATTTTTATGGTTCCCCATCGTATGTTTAAGTGCTTTATTGATCTTGAGTTTATTTTTGTGTATGGTATAAGTTGGTGGTCTAGTTTCATTTTTTTTGCAAGTATCTATCCAGCTTTCCCAACACCATTTATTGAAGAGACTATCTTCATTCCATTGCATGCTCTTGCCTCCTTTGTCAAATATTAATTGAGCGTACTGGCTTGGGTTGATTTCTGTTTTCTCTGTTCTGTTCCATTGGTCTATATGCTTATTCTTGTGCCAGTACCAGCCAGTTTTGAGAACAGTGGCTTTGTATGTATAGCTTGATATCTGGTATTGTGATCCCTCCAATATTGTTCTTTTTTCTCAAGATTGCTGAAACTACTTGGGGTCTTTTTTTTTTTTATTCCAAATGAATTTTTGGAGAATTTGTTCTAGGATTTAAAGTATGCCATTCGTATTTTAATGAGGATTGAATTGAATTTATAATTTGCTTTTGGTAGTATGGACATTTTAATGATGTTGATTTTACCAATCCATGAACATGGTATACTCTTTCATTTGTTCATGTCTTCCTCTATCTCTTTATTTTTAGCATCCTGAAATTTCCTAGTAGAGGTCCTTTGTCTCCCTGTTTAAGTTATTCCTACGTATCATAATTTTTTGTTGCAATGGTAAATGGTATTCCTTTTTTAATTTTTTTTCTGTGAGTTCATCATTGGTGTATAGAAAAGTCATAGATTTCAGGTGTTAATTTTGTATCCTACTACCTTGCCAAATTTATTTATTAAGTCTAGCAGTTTTTTGATGGAGTATTTGGCGTTTTCTATGTACAATATCATGTCATCTGTGGATAAGGACAGTTTTACTTCTTCTTTTCCAATTTGGATGTCTTTTATTTCTTCTTCTTGTCTTATTGCAGTGGCTAGTACTTCCAGTACCATGTCAAACAGGAGTGGTGAGAATGGGCATCTCTGTCTTGCTCCTGTTCTTAGGGAAAATGGTTTTAGTTTTTCCCAATTGTGTATGATGTTGGCTATGGGTTTGTCATATAAGGCTTTTATTATGTTGAGGTATGGTCCCTCTATTCCTCATTTGCTGAGAGTTGTTTTTTGTGGTTTTTTTTGTTTTGTTTTTTTTTTTTTTTTTATCAAGAAAGGGTGTTGGATTTTTCAAATAGTTTTTCTGCATCAATGGATATGATTACATGGTTTTTATCTCTCAGTTTGTTTATGTGGTATATCACATTTATTGATTTGCAGAAATTGTACCATCCTTGCATCCCTGGAATAAATCCCATTTGGTCATGCTGTATGATCTTTCTAATGTAATGCTGGATTTGATTTGCTAGAATTTTGTTGAGGATTTTGGCATCTATGTTCATGAGGGATATTGCCCTGTAATTCTGTTTCTTTGTATTGTCTTTATATAGTTTTGGGATTAGGGTAATAATCCTGGATTTATAGAAAGAGCTTGGAAGTGTTCCTTCCTCTTGCATTTTTTGGAATAGTCTGAGGAAGATAGGCTTTATTTCTTCTTTGAATTTTTGATAAAATTCCCATGTGAAGCCATCTGGTCTAGGGCTTTTGTTTGTTGGAAGTTTTTTAATTACTGCTTCAATTTCCTTCATAATTATCAGCCTATTCAGGTTTTTTTATTCCTCCTGGTTGAGTTTTGGAAGGTCATATTTTTTAGGAATATGTCCATTTCTTGTAGCTTGACCAGTTTGTTTGACATAGTTCTTCATATTTCTGTGGGGTCTGTTGTTATTTCACCTATTTGTTTCTGATTTTGTTTATTTGGGTCCTC